AGTTCCCTCCCCCTCTCGATTCGTGTGGCTGTTGGTTATTTTTAAATGCCTTGTATTTGTAGTTCTTGTGTTTCCCTTTCCCTCGGGTTTGTGCGCCGCCCTGAGTCCCGCTGGGAATAGGGCGGCATATAAATAAACCTAAACCTAAACCTAAACCTAAACCCTTTTCTCCCATATATTAAAGCAATAGCAATACATGTAAAGATTTTAAAAAGATATGTTGAATAAAAAAAAAAATATTCAATTGGCTGCTTGGCCAGATTATCATTACCTTTCGTAGGGAATAAATGCAAACTGCTATCCTTCGTCACCAATGTAAAATAACTCTTATGGAAGTAACAGTTCCATACAGTGCAGATTGCGTAATCCTTGCATTCTCCAACCTCCCCAACCCTGCCTGGTTTTTTCAGTACTTGAGATCATCCTATACATGAAGCCACATGTAGATAGAGTGTAGCATATTCATTTATGGTATGTGGCTAGGACGTACTGGCAAAGCTATGGCACACGTATCACAGGTGGCACGCAGAGCCCTTTCTGTGGCCACGTTAGCCGTCATCCCAACTCAGTTTCACCGCGCATGCGCTTGTGCCTCCCACCAGCCAGATGGTTTTCGGGTCTCTGCCACGCATGCGTGAGACACACGTGCATGTGGGGGGGGTCACATGCGGGGGCAGGGTGCACATGGGGGGTGTCATGCACACAAACCTGGGGGTGGGGCGCACACGGGGCACGCACGCATTGCATTATGGGCGGATGTGCACACTTTCAGCATTCAGCGCCAAAAAGGTTAGCTATAACTGGGCTAGGAGGTGTGCCTAACCCGCTGGTGTCAAACTCGCCGCGTCACATTGTCGTCATGTGACGTTTCACGACATTTCTCCCATTTACGGAGCTGGAGTGGGCATGGCCTGCACATGACGCATTGGGCCACAGGCCACCAGCTTGAAACCCCTGGCCTAACCGCTCCATCTTACAGATTAATTTTGGGCTTGTTAAGTGTATGAGCATCTATTAGAGATTTTCACATTCTACATGTGGATTGCTGCCCTTGCAGTTGTTGCAATCAACTACACGTTGAACATGTTTTTCTAAACAAGGAAAAGTATTGAAAATTACTAGGATGCTACACTAGGAAGAAAAGTCATGTACTCTTTTACAAAGAGCTTGTAAAAGAGAAGTAGTTTTCTTTTACATTTATAGGCATGGTGGCCTAGAGATGGAGCTCTTGCCCTCACAATCAGGAGGCTGTGAGATGGATCCTAGGTAGCAACAGATATTTCTCTCCCTGGCACAAAGAAAAAATACTGCTGCGAACTCCACACAGACATCAGGAAGGGCATCTGGCCAGTAAACGCGTAGCTCCATTCGGTCACCTCAACTCCACCCCAATGCAAAGGATTACAGGGTTGTTGTTGTTGTTTTTAAATGAACATTATTTATACCATTTCAGATGCATTGCTCAGGGCTGGAATGGCACCCGGAGGTTGCTACGCAAATGGTTCTGGCGTCAGAAGATGACCGGCTACCTGTAATCCAGATATGGGATCTCAGATTTGCATCTTCTCCTCTTCGTGTTCTTGAAAACCATGCAAGGTGCATAAAATACAGCTTTGATGTGTGTGTGTTGGGGGGCGGGGGGCTAGAAAGACTGGTGGAGATGTTACAGCAAGGGTGTCCAAACTTGGGAACTTTAAGACTTGTGGCTGGCTGGGGAATTCTGGGAGTTGAAGTCCACAAGTCTTAAAAGTTCCCAAGTTTGGACACACCTGCTGTAACATCTCCACCAGTCTGTCTAGCCCCCCGCCCCCCAACACACACACATCAAAGCTGTATTTTATGCACCTTGCATGGTTCTCAAGAACACGAAGAGGAGAAGATGCAAATCTGAGATCCCATATCTGGATTACAGGTAGCCGGTCATCTTCTGACGCCAGAACCATTTGCGTAGCAACCTCCGGGTGCCATTCCAGCCCTGAGCAATGCAT